AATCAGGGCCTTCCAGGGGCACTCAGAGCACAATAACTGACACTTTCCCAAGCATCAAGTAAATACCGAGGAAAGGCGTTTGTACGATACACACAGCACAAGAAGATACAAATGGAGCACGAGTTAATTAACGGAGCAATGGAGCACGAGTGGATAATAAGGAGATTACACAGGCACTAGCTTGTTTGCAGTTAACCATTCAAATGTTTGGTGTTGTGTGGATTATTTATGTAAACACCAAACCCCGCAGAATTCGAAGTTATGAGAACAGGTTGACATGTCGAAAGTACGTTGCGCAGTCAACGAATTTTTTGAAATGACCGTTTACTCTTGTCTATCTTATTGACCCTCCCCATGGTTACCGGAGTTTTAAATAATTACGAAGCAACAGGTATTTGCGCAATGTTAATTAGGCAGATTACCTTGAAAAACATTGCTGCCGTATTTCTGATATAGTTTTTTGCAAAATTCTCAGTTTTTAATAACAATTAATTTCTTTTACTATTTCTTCTGTACTCCTATAACAGCGCCAGACAACACCTCTAGAGGAATTACGCCAATTTTGAATCACCCTGTATATGAGCAACATGGTTACTGTTAGCAAATTATTTTGTTGGGCATTTGGCTGCAAAAAATGTTTGTGATTTGAAAAGAGAATCCTTCAGTGCACAATTCTTCATCAAAAGTAATCAAGAGCTTAAATTAAATTTTAACCAAGGTAGTTAAGGGTGTTAAGGAAACGAAATTTATGATTATCTTACAAGAACGGAGGGTGAGCGGTAGCATCCACGTACATGGAAGTCCCATATAACGAGTACACCTAGTATGAGCACCTGGGAATGAGCGTCACTAACAACCATGACTTCACTCAGGAAGTCGGAATACGAGTTGAACGAGCACGAGCCGTTTTCATCAACATGAAGAACATTCTCTCTAAAACTCAAGATGCGACTGGTTAGATGCTATGTTTTCTTTGTACTCCTCTATGGAATGGAGACGTGGACCCTCAAAAATGTCAATACAAAGAAAATAGAGGCCTTTGAAGTGTGGGTTTATCGAAGTTTGCGTGGAGTCTCGTGAATGGACAAAGTAACGAACGTTGAAGTCATGCGAATAATGGATAAGGAAGCAGAAGTGATACTTTCCATCAAACGGCGAAAACTGTGGTACTTGGGCCGCGTCATGAGAGGGGAGAAGGTGGTGCTGCTTACCAATCAACTGGTGCAGCTTATTATATTATGCAGCAGCAGAATCCAAAGAAAGAGAAGAGCTGGTCGCCGACGCATATCTTGGCTGACAAACCTAAGAGAATCGTATCAATGCACATCCATCTAGTTTAGAACAGCGACTTTACAGATGCCTGCAAAACCTGCAATGATAATTGCCAAACTTCAAAACGGAGAAGGCACTTGAAGATCAAACTTTGTGTGCACAATTCAATTTTCGTTTCAATTCGTTATTCGAAACGTCTTCAACAAATCCAATCATTTGAAATAGTAATAAAACTCTTAATACCATTTAAATAATTTAATTTGTACATCCCAAATCACTCAACTTTAATACTCTTCCTTGGCAAATCTATGCTCACTTCATCCTTGGGCAAAATGCGCATTAGCCTTAAGAGCTTCTTCGTCGTGTAGTAGATCCCTATTAAAACTAGGGCTAAAAACACCACTACATCTAACGAATAGTAGTCTATCACTCCCATATGTCGACTAGGAGACTGCAAATGCACCGCTCCCTTGTGTCTCAGCACGTACTCGGTCCAGTACACTGCTTTCTCCAGAGGAATCTCCGATTGGTCCAACAGCAGCTTCTGGCGGTGCTTCACCTATAAAGCGGATGCGTTAAATCATTCTAGTATCAGTAAGTATGTTGAACTCACCTGCGTTTTGTATCTGGGATCACGAATCACAGTTTTGATAGCTCTTAGCAGACCCTCAGGGGTGATGGTAAAAAGATCAAGCTTAATCGCATACCCATCAGCTTCGGCTTTGGCAGCATTGGAATCGTGATCGCAAAATACTGGCAAAGACACCACTGGCACGCCATGATAGACAGTTTCAAACATGCTGAGAAGTCCTCCATGGGTCACAAATGCCTTCAGCTTAGGATGACCTAAAAATGTTCCAACTTGGGGTTTTCTGCAGTCCGATTTTGCTTGTTACTAACCCAAGACGTCCTGCTGGGGAAGCCATTTGCCCAACAGGACATTGCTAGGCAGGTCAATGAGGTCATCCCCTTCATATTTCCAGAGTACCCTTTGAGGCAAATTGCGAAAGACGATCATCAACAAGGCTCGGAAGTAATCCGGAAAGTTACTAGCTTTTACCGACGATCCCATGCTGAAGTAAATGAACCCTGCGTCTCCTGCACCTTCAATAAAGTTTTCCAAGTGCTGGAAGAGATTTGAAAACGATAAGATTTGAGAAAAGTACTGACAGTTATTGATAACTATCTTGTTGAATATCTGGCTCTTTCATAGCTAATAATGTTCTTATGTAAAAGTTATGAAAAATTTGCAAATTAAATCAATTGTTCTAAACGTCCCAGTAGCCAAAGTATCTCGACTAGATAGCATAATTTTGTTGCCCCGATTGTTATGCTAATACAACCTTTAGATGCAACAGGGTGGAACTGAACTACAATAATAATTATTCCATTGTTTAAAACATTTGTTAATGCAATTTTTAACGTAAAATCGTCATTTGCACCTGACACGCCAACTTCAAATAGTGGAAGTTGGTAACCTCAGAACCTCAGTAACATAATAAATTTTGGAAACTTTAACCTTATAATTACTTGCAATTATTTTTCATAAATAACGATAACATTAAGAATCATGTTAACTGATTCATTAAGAGACTTGGAAACTAGTTTCTAATACAGAACATTAGTTAAGTTCAACAATTATTGAGCAATGGAAATAATCATATTTTGCAGCTATTACTAAGAACTAAGTTTTGTCTAGAACAATTAGTACATATGTAATTAAATGGTGAGCTTTAAACATTTGGACGTGTTAGATACTATGTCTCTTGTGCCCCACTGCCTTTGAATCACTAATAATTGCTATCACATTTTCATCACAATTATGTCACAATTTATTCAGGGGATTTGGCAAATTTTACTGTTAGCGGTTGGCAATAGACGAATAGCCATTTGTGATATGTCCTGATTCTCATAGTTGCTTTTCTATTCGACTAATCATCTGAGCATTAGGGAGATGCATGGAAGAGTATAGCAGGCAATTTTGTACTGATTTTCTTTTCACCTTTTTTTTAGCCTTCTATCCTTGAAGTGGTCTTTTTGCAATTTTGTTTGTTGAACATAATTCCTGACACTGCTGAGCTGAAGCAACTAGTTAAACAAAACTCACTTAGATCGCAGTGGAACAATAGGGTCAAATTTCTAGAGGAACTTTGCATTTTCAGAGGCTTGCTGTGAAGTACTATAACCAAAAATTGTTTGTCCTTCGACTAATTTTTTAATTGATCTTAATTTTTGTTTGGTTTGACATTAATAGTACTTTTAAATATTTTTAATGCTTACAATGGCGCGTTCTCTCTTGACGCACTTTTGATTAAAGGGGAGACGGCAGACAAATGTTTTATGTTTTTGTGGAAATCAAATATTTTGATGTTCTATTCAACAACTTTATCTTCTTTAACATTTACTCTCGCATCTGATTTTTCTGGATGCACAAAGCATTAAAATCTGTGTCTTTCTCCTTCTCCGTCTATTCCGGTTTGGTGTTAATTTTCGTGTCATATTTTCGTTTTCCGGGTAGGCAACGAATAAAATTGTAAGTCGACCATCTATGGTACTTTCGATTGCATTGAGTATGGAACTCCAATTTTGTAAATAAATTCGTGGATTATCAATGTGCCCGTTTTCCTCGAATGTCCCAGTAACATAGCAGAATGTGATAGAACTTACGTCAGCAAAGAGCTAAAGACACTAGACGATTGGCTCCAGGAGTTCATGCAGATATTAGACTACCAAAAAGTGTTCGGCTTTCAAACATACAACAACGGGTATTGGATATATTTGGCCTACCACGAGTACTTGGATAATTGCAAACAACTCAGACAACCGTAAGTAATATTCCTGTGGTGTGTCATTCAAGCTGAGAATGAAAACCTATAGTAATCCTTTATAAACAAGTCGTTGACAGTATGGTCAAATACCAGCAGTAATACAATAAAGAAGACAAATTAATAAAAAGTGTTACTTATTTCTAGACCTGATCGGGAGCCAAGAGTTTATTAGTTGTAATCCTCAAAATTTTCAGACAACCAAACGACCTGTAAACTGTGAATTTCGCTAATGTGAGTTTAAGTAAAATAAACTTACATATGATTGATCAATGAAAAGCTTTCGGCACCATCAGCGCCGTCATAAGTTTATAATGTAAGGTAGTGCAGACTTCGAGGCGCACTTACTTACATTCTACAATTGCTTACTTCATAAGCTCATGACGGCTCTGATGATGCCGAAAGCTTTGCATTGTTCCAATATTTTCCCATGTTGGAACTCAATAATGTGGGACATGGCTAAGAGCAATAAATGGTGGCAGCAACCAGTTTCCGCGCCTGTGTAAATACATTGGTAAGATAACGTGCATGTTTCGGTATTGCTAATTTGAAACCGGAAGCTACAATGCAGCAGCAAAGAAAAACCTGCACTCGACGTCCACCGGTGGGTAAAAGGAACCATGCACAACTGGCGCCAGCTATGCAAGCCCAGATGCAGACGTTCAGGGCGCAGATTTAATTAGTAATTTACTGCACTCATGAGCAGCCATGTCGGGGCTGCAAATACCCAAATCTTTGTGATTCAGGTCCTGGAATGTCAATGGAGTCAAGGGCAAGAAGACAGAGCTCCAAAACTTCTTGGAACGACATTATGTGTACGTGTTCCTAACCAGGAAAGGGTACTGAAACCTGGAGGAAGGTTCACACTTCCGAGCCACAAAATACACAGAGATGATAGACCAAGTAGAGGGCGGAAGCGCACTAGTCGCAGTGTAAAGGTCTATACAGCACCACGAGATCGTAAAACGGTCGACATGTCTGGCGGAATCCATAGTTACGTCCAGATGGAAACGTTGGAGATCAGAGTCGGGTCCATAGGCGTCAGTCCAAACGCTACGTTGAGACTCGAGGATGTTCGAAGGCTTTCCGCAGTTCCGACAGCCCAAATGGCGAAAATTATTCCCTGGTTAAAAGCCAAAATCAAGGATGAAACCGCATAAGACACAGCGCTATGTGAACGCAAGACCCACACCTGAAAAAGAAAGCTAACCGCTTCCACAATACGATCATGGAAGACATGGGAATACTTCGATCGCAACTCTGAGAAAATCACATCGACGAGATAGAGCCTGATGATTTAATAAGAGGACTCTGGAAGCTCGTAAGGTGCCTCACAACAGGACCATGGAAGCGAAGTCCATCAATCCAAGAATCCGACATCACCAATATGTATCCCTAGGAAAAATCTGAGGTCTTTGTCACCCACCTAGACCTCTAGTTTCGAGAAAACCCAGTTGATCACCCAGAACAAGAGAAGATAGTCAATGAGCTGGTAGCCGCTCATGTCCGAAACGGGCAGGCCACCAGACCCAGAAGAATAGAACGAGATCATCCGGGGCATCATTAAGGGGGCCAAGAGAAAAATGCACCCCTGGACACGATGGAATCACAAACGAAGTCCTCAGAAAGCTATGGCAAACAGCTATTGTGGACCTTACCACGGTCGCAAATGGAATCTTAGACCTTCTGGAAGGAAGCAATAATGGTATTGGTACCCAAAAAAGGCAGAAAAGGCAAGAAATGCTTCTCACGTCCTCAAGTCGGCACGGCGCATCAGTCTACTGTCCACATCAGCAAGGTGAGGTGTATCCTGAACCGTCTGTAGTATAGAATAGAAGACAAGCAAGTGTAGCTGGCTGAGCAACATGGATTAAGACCGGGACGCGACACAAACACTCTCACCACCAGGCCAGCAACAAAAATCCTGCAGCAGTTAAACCGCCGACGCAATCTCAAGTAGTCGTTTTGGACATAGCTTAGTCGTTTGACAGGCTTTGGCACCAGGACCTAACTGCCAAGACGATCAAGGCAGAGTTTCTTGAGTACCAAATCCAGCTAATGCGCAGCTACTTGCCAGGACGCAGCTTCCAAGTCAAAGCCGCTGATGAGATGTCAATTATCATAACGTATGGAAATAATCCAACGACAAAAGAAACGGAGTACTATGTCTATGCAGATGATGTAGCACTCACTGTGATTCGAAAATATCCCGGAATGAAAGCCAAACTGAGCAGGGCTTGGAAAATGATTGAGCTTGGAGAAGACGCAAGCCATAGTTTTCGCAGAAGGAAGGCAACCACTTCAAAGCCTACTAGAACTCCGAGGACAAAGGTTACTAGCAGGCTTATTTGTGGTAAACGTCTAGTATGATACGACCAGTTGTTAGCCACAGTTGCTAAAACAAGGTACCCGCGCCATGCCTACTATCCAATGCCGACAGGTAAGCTCCTCCTGGAAACCAGGGTGAGACATTACAAATAGCTGATATGCCTGGTGCTGACCTATGGATCGCCTGCCCGATCCACGGCCAGCATCACGCAGAAACAGAAGTTGGCAGCTCAACAAAACAAACCTACAAAACATAATCTGGAGAATAGCAGCAAAGGCTTCATCCTATGTCAAAAACAGCACATTCAGATGCACATGCTAGGCCATATCAGGAAGTTAACATCAAAGTTCATAGACCCGGCAAAACAAGAATCCCACCCTCAAGGTTTCTTGCATTAAAACGTTTTGGGGGACTCTCCCTGCGAACACAGCGTAAAAAGAAGATGTGGACCAAAAACGATGACTAGTTCCTGCACCCAATTGAGGAACATGACTGAAATGACTAAATAGGTATAAGTTAGTTTGCAGGAGGTTGCAAGGAGAGAGGATGTATTAGGTTCAGTTAGGATTAGGTTAAATTAGATTAAGTATATCAATTAAAATGATGTTAGTCTTTAAGGTACCCATAGATTATGTAGCAGAAAGGAGGTGTAATCCTAGTCTGGTAGTAAATATGTTCAAATTTATTAGTTTTTTTCTCATAGGCTAAACCGAGCCTATGAGAGCTAGTAGGCTGGAAACAGGTCCCGGGAGTGCCTAAGGTTGACACACCTCAAAAGTTCCAATGGTTTACATCACATATTATTATTTACAGAATACATCAACATTTGCTTTTTAAATATTGAGGCAGAATAAGGCATCATGAACAAATCAACTGTATTCTTGGCAAGCCCGAAATACCTCCAACTGAGTCTGCGTGACAATAGTCGCAAAGTCATAAGGTTTCTTGTTAACTTGCGGAAAAGAGCTTTGGAAAACAACATTTTTGCACGAAAACCCACTGAGAAAAATTGTTGATAAGGCAATTTTTTGTAAGGTGTTTATTTTGAACTTGAATTATCACGCTTGGTCCTGATAATAAGAAGATAATTATTAACAAATTAATCAAATAAACGTTGTATTATCGTTGGAATTTGGATTTATTTTCTTGGCTGGGTGTAATTGTTAACTTTTTTTTTCTTGGGCTCTAGTCACAGTGTGAATCAAAAATTTTTTTACCAATTATGAGTATGCATGAATTTTAAAATCTGATGATGGCGCTGTTGTCTCGCCGAGAGGTAACGAAATAAATGATATACAAATTGTTTCACACTATGACTGGAGCCCAAGAAAGAAAATAATACAGTTATCTTTAGAAATTAAGCTATATTATAATATAGGTTAAGTGTTAAGTGTAAGTTAAATTGAAAATAATGGAATTGCGAATTTGCATAACCCATTATTTGTGTCCAATTTTCATCTCCATTCGTCATTTACTTTCAGTTTTTTCCTTAATTTTGGAAAATTTCTAGTAGCCCACAATCGACTTAGACCGGCTAAGCACTGAAGTCACTAATTTAAGATGATATGTAATGATTTAAATTTTCTAAACTCAAGAAATGAACACGTTGCAATCCCCAAACGTATTAATTCAAGCAGGCTTTACCTCCGGTAGTTTTTTCGCAGGCTTGCAGTGTAAGCAAGCAATTTCGGCAACATTGGGTAGAAATGGTCTTGGATATGTAAGCACTGGATGTCCATTTTGCAAAATGAAGCTCACATTCCGGGACATGTCGTAAATTCCTGGCACATCCGGACCAAAGTATTGTCGCACTATATCCTGCAGTTTCCCTCTGGTCATCACTGAATGCATTATATTGGCTACCATGTAGAATCCAAAGTTTTGCACCTGAAATTCCGATTACTATATCAAATCCAAAGGTATTGCTAGTTCTCGTTTTAAGTACCCGCTGTATAAAGTTCATGGTATCACTAAAAGGTCTGGCCAGAAACGGGGTGACGGAGTATAGAGTGGGATTCCCTGCTGTGGATAATGATCCCATGTACATTCCCACTGTGTTGATATAGATGAAAGGGGCACCATAGAAGTGGACAAAGCCCATGGCGCATTCGGGATATGCCCCGTCCAGCACCAGAAGGTCAAATTTTAGCCCAGATCGCAGAAATTCTTTGGTCTCAGGATCCGAGAGTAGAACGTCGCAGGCCTGCAAAATTCTGCCGTTTAAGTCCTTTACAAACCCTTTTAGAGCTGTGGCAACTACCTCGTATCCAAATTTGATCATATCTACAAAAGGTACCGGTTCTTCGCCTTTAATTCTGGCGCCCACCAAATCCCAATTGGTGAAGTTTCTAACATAGACCACATAGCTGCTAGGAGTAATTTCCTCAAGACCTGAAAAGCAATCAAATTTAGCAAGCTGTACTTAAAATAGCTTCGCTAGTTAGTACGAATACCTTCCAGGTAGAAATCGCTAGGAAAGGCGTTAATAAATGTGATGTTGTGACCCCTAGGTATCAGTCCTCTCGCCAATTCCCAGAAAGGAATTTTGTGAGACTTGGTACCGCCCATAGTAATCATCAGCACATTTGCACAGGTACAATGGTGTATCACAGCCAAGGTAACAAGGGTAACTATTTGAAAGCATCTTGACAACATTTCTGCAACAAACCTGTAGGTGAGGTTTTCCCTCAATGTGGTAAATCAAGAGCATTTGATGAATGTTGCTCAATGCAGGGAATAAGAGGGCTGCTGATAAATAAACCGCATACGCGTGATACCTAATTAAAGATGCATTGTTCGTTCGACCTTCACCTTCAGATGGAAGAGAACTCGCGTAACGGCGCAATGTACGGGTCCGTTTCACTTTCTTTAAATACCTGCCACCGAGATTTTAAACAAAGAAGATATTACCGAAACCACGCGGAACACTTTCACTGGAAACTCCTCTTGATTCGATCAGGAAATTCAGTATTAGAACTTTATTCAGGATTGTAAAATCTCCAATTTGACTTAATTTGTGTGATTAATGTATGCTTTAAATAGTTTACTTTGAAAAGCCAAAATAGCGCCAAAGGTATCCCGATGAAATGTTTGAAACAAGAGAAAGTTTAAATTATGATCAGACGATTTGAGACCCAATATGTGGTTTTTACATTGCTTCTATTTTTGTAGTGATTATAAATAGCATTTTGATGTTTTTTCGCAATGTTAATAATTGTATATTTGTTCAATAATATAAGGCATGATTCTGATTAAAACGACTAAATTTAAATAAAAAAAATTACCTTCGATGTGCAAACCTCTCAATTGAGTTCTCTTCTTCAGGCACCAAATGTCCAGTTTTAGCGACAGGAAAACCTGTGGTTTCTGCCTGACTCGCTTTTGCGAAATAATACACTGAAAGATTCCATTTAGTCGCTAAAATCCCGCTCTTGTCTCAGTTTGGAAACGTTTTAAATTAAGGGTTTCACATTCTAAATGTCGATTTTTTCCTGGCTTAAACACTGAAGATGCCAGATGGAAAGAGTCAATCTATTTGGTAAATGCGGGTTTTTTCCTTGGCTCTCATTAATTTAAAATTAAGAGGCTGGAAATTCTAAATAAAAGGTTTTTGGAGTTCAAAGAGTGAAGGATTCATTATATTTCAAGGTAAAAATGTTATTTCTGCCTGCGTCTCTTTTGAAAACTAAACTGTTGAAAAAATCTATTAAAACGCGTTTTATTCTTTACTCTCAAGCGTTTTATAATTAGTCTTTTGTGGTTCAAATACGATTTTTTTTTGTTTCAAAAGTGAAGAACCTCCTTTTAGGTATTCCGGGTTAAACTGTGGTATGTTTCTTTCTTCGTT